TAAAGTAATAAATGTTCATTCCGCCGATTGTCAAAAAAATCTCGATAATTCTGGCATTTTTAATATTTTTTGGTGGTAAATGATAAAACTCAGAGCGAAAAAGTGAGAAAACCAAGCAAAACCAACTTCCAGAACCGTTTTGATTTTACAGAACTGCTTTTCATCCACTTCATTTACGAAAAATTTTTATGCTTTATTTCATCCAGCTCAAAGTTGACCTGCATAGTTGTTGTGCTCAAAACAGGTTGACCCAACATAAAAAACTTGATGATGCTTCTAATTGAGTATTAACAAACAATATTTTAGACAGCGTTCTTAATATGCCTTCGTTTGTTTTAGAGTTTTTATTAAAGTATTAATTACAATTCAAACTTGTAGCCAGATGTCAAATTCAGTGTAAAGTTGGAAACTGTAAAAAACGGCGATGAATATTACATTAAACGGTTCATGTATCGGATAAAAGACGAGTGCTTGAGTGAGTCATAGGCGAACGTAGTGCAGAACGCATTCCATCCATACGTGCTGCTTCCAGTCTCACTGTACTGGAACCAGCAACAATCTTGTTGCCGCCACGATTCACATGCTTTAAAAAGAAATTAGTGCGGATTACAAAGCAGTACATTACTGCATTTTTACTTGAAATCTAATGGTCGAACCGGAAACCACTAAGACCGTGCATGAAACTTATTTGTTGCGGATCTATAACGTATGGATTTGTTTTTTGCACTAAATAGTAATCACAATTCTGTCTTGTTTTTATGTCGCAAAGTGAAGGCTCCGCTACCAAATCAACACATCCCATCTATTAAAACTACCTCAGGACTCAAACTGAAAGAGAAAATCATAATGAGCTCTGGTTTTTAAAGTTAAATTAACAATATCTGCAGAGAGCTGGAAAAGTAGCAAAGCGGTAATGAATGTTTTACCTGCGCAATACTGAATGCTTTAAATCCGGGTCTAAAACCGGATATGAAAGGTAAGTTTGATGTTCCTTGCTGTTTTGGTGGTGCGGTGCATGGTGGCATGCCTTTAAAGCCACAAGGATATTCTTCATACATCACCGCTCCATCCTTGCTGAAAATGTTAAAACTTACTATTTTTATAAATAAGAGCGCCATATAAGAGCAGATGAACGAAGCATATTAACAGATTACTGAGTGGTACCCAAGTAGGGTTAAAAGAATACAGAAAGGCCCGTGAGTAGGATAGAATCCTTTCCAAAACTTACATAAAATTACGAAAGACATCCAGAACAGGAACTGGTAAATCGCTGAACTGATAAACTGCTAACTACAAAACAAATGAGATGAAACGCGATGATGAAATACCAGCTGAACAAAGTACCATAGCAGGAATAGGCACCAATCAAAAACATGCGAAATTTGCTTTTGCGCTTTTTTAACTTGTATGCATTCATCAGACCTTCCACTTATAGTGTATTTTCGAAGAACAGCCAAAAAGTCCCAATCGCCTTCGGGGAAGACAATGATTGTTGATGGGTAGAAGTGAAAACAGTGGTTGTTGTACCTCACTGCTAGTAGATCAAGCGATTCGGCCTACGGTAACTAGAAATACAAGCTTACATGTAGCACCGGTAGATCATATGTTTATCAACAATGCTATCGCCAATATCAAGATCGCGCTCCATATTACCCGCGTAGCAGCCTAAACTTAGTTGCTTTTACTTTTCATCCTTTAAGCCGCATCTTCAAAAATCATAATGTAAAAACGCTATGGGAAAGCCGAAATGAACGAAAGGGCAAAGAAAACGAGCGTTTTAAGAGGACTTCAGTTCAAAAAGCAAATGCTGCTTGTCTAGGCATTATAAATACGGTTTGAGAATGCAGTAAAACATGTAGTACTTGACCGCCCGTGAATAACATAAAGCTGTACTAGTTTTGACACAGCAAATCTCAGGACACGAAACCAGCGATGGGATTATCACCAAATTGGTCACTAGGCGATGCGGCACTGGTCAATGCGATTGGAAAAAGCGCTGTATTGCATGCGATTTTTGGTGTAATTTTAGCGCGGCAACCTCACGTGCCCTTGTGCGAGGCTTAGGCGTGAATAGAAGTACATGTCACCTTCCTGAGATAACACTTCGCCAGCGAACTCACTGCAAAAACTCTGCATCAAGGCTTAATTATCTGCAGGGATGAAATACCTGGACAAACAAGCAAACAGGCACAAAAGCATACACACATCACGGGTCATTACAAAATGCCTTTTGAATTTGTACAAATATGCAGTATCGCGTAAAAAGGGATTGGCTCCTCGCACGCAAAATAGTATCGATCCTGCCAAAATATTCGTCCCCACCAATAACATAGGATCGGTCCTCCACCAGCAAAAAGCAAGGTGGCCCTCGTCGATAAAAAGGAATCAGTCTCCCACCAGTAAAGAGGGGTGAACCCTTGAAGGCCAAATAGGGTCAATGAAGCGGTCTCTGGTCAACGAAAGGAGGTCGGTCCCTCAATAAATCCCTCCCAGTAAAGTGGGATCGGTCTCCTGCAAATTTAAGAAGAATCGGTCCCCAGTGATGAAAATGCGGTCCCATCGATAAAAAAATTCAGTCCGATTTTTCCGTTAAATTATTTACAAACGTCTGCTCAGCCTCCAAGCGTACCTGGTAAACAACTCATGGAAAAGGATCGTTCGGTGGGTATGGATGGTGTTTTTTTTGTTTGTTATTTTTTTTATTTCGACTTTAACATTTCGAGGTTGGAGCTGTGAGCTTCGGGTTTTTCGATGAGATAATATTTGGATGGACGGCTGGAATTTGCGTACAACTAAATAGGCCTCTCAGAAAGATAGAGTTGTCTCGAAGTGCACAGAAATCAACAGGTACTGAATTTGGCCAATGGTGGAGCTGCACTTGACTCCACCAGGTTAGCAGGTGCGATCATGCGTTTT